AATGGATTCAATCTCTTTGCTATTATCTGTGATATCCTCAACTTCAACAGGATGTAACTCACATTTTACATATAAAGCCACTCCTCCCCCTTCTTTAGTGCTCTATCCCTATTAAATAGCCTGTAACCCTGTATTTCAAAGAAGTTTTTGTCATCAAAATCATCTACGTTTAACCATGTTTCAGTTATTCCCATTATATCAAAATCCTTCATTCCTACCAGTGCTCTAAAGTCATCTATTTTATTTCTTATACTTCTAACATTATGATAGTAACAGTTAAGCCTATACTTATAACTACTTCTATACTCATTTCCTATGCTAAACTTTTCTCTGCCTCTTATTCTTTGTACATTTAGTTTTTCCTGGCCCTCACCACTGTCTAGTCCTAGTTTAAAACTTCCCTTACAGCTGAGTTAATAGCCTTAGCAAACAAGCCAGCCCCTACTATATTTAAATGTAAACCATCCATTCCAATCTACATTTAGTAAAGACTGCCACGGCACTAGTCTTTTTATAAAGGCTGGTCCTTGTCGTGTCACAGTTAGACAACCAAAAGGTAAACATAGCCTTTTCCTACCTTTAGGTTAGTGTGCAGTAAGAAGTTCAGAAAATATTGCAAATATCACTTTTTTATTGGTGTATCCTTTTATTCTGAACTTTAATGAGATATCTTTAAACAAAAAAAGTAGTCTATAACAAAATATTTTAATTAATAATATAAAATGTAGTCTTCTTAAAGTCAGGATTAAAAAATGAAAATAGAATCAGTATGGCAAAAAACTCAACAAATTGTCACTGATGTAATTCATGACCAGGCTTAAGTAGAGGGTATATTTCTATTTTGTAAGGAAAGATAGGTTTGGTAAAATTGAGTTCCAGAACAACTTGTTCAAGAAACAGTAGAAATTTTAATACAAATATTAATTTTATGTATAAATATCCTCTTACTGAACAAAAACTAAGACATGAAAAAAAAAAAGAACAGTGTACAGTTCATGAATTAGAGTTAGTAAAGTATGAGATGAAGGAAATTATCCCTTTTTCAGTTGGTAAAATATACTATTTGTATAATAAAGTCCTAAAGCTAAATTCTTGTTGTTGTTGTTGTTTTATTTTTCTTAACTCATTACTTTCTTAATTTACTTAATTGTTTAGTACTTTCAGAGTTTCCTCAAGTATTTTTTACATATCATGTTCAAGTCTTATTATAATGTATAAATAGCATATCCATTCCCTCTGGCTGAAACATCTGAAGTGAAGGAACCAATTGTTTTTAAACAAATTATTAACTGAATTAACATATTAAGCAACAGATTAATTTAATTTTGAATATCTGTTAAGACAGAACATCAGGTAATCATCAAAACTAATTTGAATCAATTGTTACAAAAACATCTACAATTTTTGTTCACTTGTATTTGTGTGTCTGTGCTGGTAAGTATCAACTTACATTCCAGAATGACTAAACATTTTGTCCTCCCTATAGAAACTGCTACCACTGAACAAGCTGGAGGCACTTCACTGGCTGGTAGTCAAGATCAGAGATTTTCTACAATGTCTGACTCAGGTGTTCTTGGTCCAAAGTCTGTTCCATCCTCTAGAAGATGGTCCAGTGGCTATAGGGGATCATTAGGTCAAAGGTCACAACAGAGGCCATGTATTCAAGAATACAGAAGGTAAAATATTCTGAAGCTATTTTACCACTTAGTGTATTGGTGGGTTAATACACTGATTCATTAATATGAGTTCCATCAGATGTCTGGTGCTAAAAGGGAAAAAAAAAGACTAAGTAACTTCCAGTACTTCAAGAATCATAGTAAAGTCACTAAACGATTATAGAATATTCTAAGTACAAGGTTTCACTTTCTATTTAAGTACCAAATAGAAGTAAGTGAAGTGTTTTAAATTCTATATAGATATGGTATTTTGTGTTATATACATTTTATATCCAAACATCAGTAGTTTTCTATATTGAAGCTTTTCTGTTATCTAGGTGCACAGGTTCTGATACTGACAGTGATACAGAGCTAACTCCTTCTCAGATGAGAGATGGTGACATAATCCAAGAGATGTCAGAGACTGAATGTGATCTTGATGCAAAACAAGTAGCAGCTGGTATGCTTAATTTTTGTACCTACTTACCCCTTTCTAAACTGATAACACTTTACATTACTGTTTCTGTATCTGCCCATTCATGAAAAATTAATAATTTAAAATATCGTCACATCTAAAATGCAAACACTTCAAACATAAAACAGATAATTATTTAATGTTTTTAACCCATGTTTAGCCTTTAGGCTTCTTTGGTAAATTTATAAATTATAAGTTAAAAACTACTGTATGTCTTGTATCAAATAACTGCTTTACTACCAATATCTGTTACGTTTTGCAATATATTTTGTTTGTTTATTTACTTAAGAGCAAAGCCACTTCTGGCCATATGCTGTATCCACCGCGGAGAATCGAACCCCGTATGTTAGCAATGTAAATCCGTGGGCTTACCGCTGTCCCATCGGGAGACTGCAAAATATCAATCAACAATTAAGTAGACCTGACCAAGACTTTGTTACTAAATATTACAATCTCTAAACTCAATCACAAATAACACAAAAAGCAAAGTTATTAATGATATTTCATACCACACTAATAATAATAATAGCAATAATAACAAATGTAAATAAAAAAAAAGAAACAAGAAAAATAAACCTAATTCGTTAGCTTACGCAAAAAGACCTATTAGATACTTCTCAACCATAACTTTTTGTTTTTTAATCCGTTACGACCCTAGTCCAGCTAGTTTGGAATCGGCTGGTATTTTAATAAGCCAAGAATATTTATATTGTTACGTCTCCGTTTGTTAGTTGATTTTCCGTAAATTCGTTTTGACGAAACTTTAGCGACACAAGTCCTTACTTAATAAAACTGGTTTATTCTTTCCGAATATAACTTTACGATACACTTAATTTCAACAATCGCGCTAAAACAAACGTTATAACAACGAACGTGCTAGAGCACTCCCGAAGGAACGGGATAGTTCTAGAAACGTGGCGTGACACTAGTCACGTGACCTCGCTGACGCAACACTGCCCCTCCTTAGTATTGTTCGTCCAGAACAATAACCACATACAATAAACCAATAACAATTAACAATAACTTAATTAAATGTACAAAATTACAATTCAACAAAGTCTCTTAATTTTACGGGACGTATCTTCTTCAGTACTGGTCTCAG